TAATTTCTTGACGACCTAATATAAACCCATATTTGCGTAAAGCTACGCATAACGAAAAGTCGGTGTTGAACAAGTTATGTGGAAATAAATATTCATACAAGTTTTAAAAATAAACTGGATACTATACACTCTTTGCTTAACTGAAGCTTATGTGTACGTCACAATTATATGCATGTAAATATCTTTTAAATATAACTAGTATGCACCTTATTATATAACTTAAGGCAAATATACTCATAGGCTTAACCACAGCTAAAATGTTGATTTTTTTATATAAAATCTTACGTGCTGAAAATATTTATGACATTTTTTCCCGTTGTATTTCTATTATTTTTAAGGTTTTGAGTTTCCAAATTTTGCTGTAAAATCACATTCAAAACTTTAAATAAAAGTCCAGAGATACAGCTTTTGAGTGGTTTGTTTATTTTTATTTAGCTTTATTATAACGCAACATAATCATTAGGATCAAAGAACATAACAATCACCCAGGTGGTTAGGGCGTTCGATTCGCAACCTGCGGGTCGCCGGTTCGAATCCCCGTTACACCAGACATGCTCGCCCTTTCAGCCGTGGTGCGTTATAATGTGACGGTCAATCCCACTATTCGTTGGCAAAAGAGTAGCCCAAGAGTTGGCGGTGGGTGGTGATGACTAGCTGCCTTCCCTCTGGTCTTACACTGCTAAATTAGGGACGGCTAGTGCAGATAGCCCTCGCGTAGCATTGGGCGAAATTCAAAACAAATAAACAGTTACCCTAGATCTCACCTTTCAAAATGGCGCCACTCTTACCTTTGAAACATTAGGTAGCAATATTTTTTCTAACAATACTCTTGGTCAAAATCATTTATATCTAACAAGTATTCCTTCTTTTCAACAAGTTATAAGCCAATTTATTTACGTACGTTGTTTGAATATGATACACGTAAAAGTAATAGTTAATAAATAAGGATTTTGAGTCATCAGAATATTTTGCCGTCGCCTAACTAAACTTACAAGATGTCTTTTCACGGAGGAAAATGTCCTAAGCATTTAAACATACATGATTTAACATGCAAACACTTTTATAAATGGAAGAAAAATGTCTGAAGAAACTATAGTATAATTTCCAACCCTGTGATTTGATCCTAGGTCTTGAAAATTGCCCATTGAATGAATGTCTTTGAGCCATGCTCCGACTGGACATTTTCCAACAAAACTACTGTTCAAAGCATTTCATATACTCTGCTGTGACGTCAAAAGTCGAATTCCTTCTATATCCAATGACATTTAACCTTTCTTTATAGCTATTCCATGTCATGATCACTCATTTGATGTTAATTACAACACCATTCATCAACATTTTTAAAGTATACATTATTATAATTCCATGTCTAATCAACGTTTATTTGATGTTGGTGATTTCTAGTTTTTCAAATTATAATTAATTATGTGAAGCTTCGTATTTGGCTTTTCAGGAAAATTTGATTAAACCTTTATTTTTGCCTAAATTATGTAATATATATATATATTAATGAACAGTTCCAATGCTTCCTTCCAGACATATAAGTAGCTTTCTTCATTGTTGTTGTATAGACTGTGGTTTCTACAGATTTACGAAACAAACGTTATTAGAGTTGTTTGGACACACACACACACACACACTTACCTCTCTTGGAAAGAAGGGAGCTTGTAATGATATACAAGCTGCAATCACAAGATTGCTCACTGACAAAAGCAGCAGAATTTGCCACTGACGAATTGTAATTTTATTCGTGGCATTCTTGACATCCTTGCTTTTGTTAGATGCCCCAAACGAATTTTCTGGAGCCATCGTCTTCGCGCGGTTTTTCGAAATATCTTCTCGCGTTAACAAAGATTTATAGCACGGTACACTCCAACCTTCTTCGTGTCTTGCTGCTGTAATTGCTTCTGAACCTATAAGAAATTCAGAAAAGAGTTTCTTCAAAACTTTAGTAGCGTATGCATTATATTGTGATTGTTTTTTTTTATACTGAACCAACTTCATATAAAAGGATTTCCAGACATGCAATGCGATACAGATATAGAGAATTTATTTAAAATACTGACTTCCCGTCACACACACACACAAAGAAAAATCGCATTACTATGAAGTTCATAACAAAGCATCGTAAAGGACTCGTATATCTGCGCCATTTGTTTTTCCCGGGATTACAATAATAATACAACGAAATAATATTTTAAAAAAGACAAGTGGTATTAACTACCAGCAGAGAGCGCTACATATATCCCGTATTTTATCATTAAAATTCTGTGGCATAAGTAAAATGATTTAGCATTTAAAACTTTGTTTGTTTGTTGAATTTCGTACGAAGCTACTCGAAAGCTATTTATAGGTCCTCCGGTAGGACGGCGGTAGGTTCATAGACTTAAAAACCCTAATATAAAGGTTCGATTCCCCGTGGTAGATACAGCAGATAGACCAAACATACAAACAAACAAATCTATCTGTAGTAGGATTGACTGCCATATTATAACGTCCCGTGGCTGAAAGGGCGAGCATGTTTGATGACAAGATTTGAACCAGCAACCCACAGGTTTTGAGTTGAGTGCCCTAACTACCAGGCCATAGAAGGCCCATCTGAACATTACTAACCTAATATTATTGAATTTACAGATATTAGAACAGGTGGAGTTTAAATAGAATAAAACTTTTTTTTTCACTTCTGCAACATCTATGGGTTTTTGAAATGTCTTTTATTCACACACTAATCTTATACTTGTATAGGAATTTCACGAATATACAGCATTGATGGTATTAATTTTTTGTGAATTATTCAGCCAAACAGGCTGTTTAAAGTACTAAAAATACATGTGAAACCTATTATATCATTCGATTTACTACATCTCACTAAGTTATACCAATTTCGGGGAATTTCGCTCCTTATCAGTAACCCTGGACAAGAATTTGGTTTGGTCTGTTTTGAATATCGCGCAAAGTTACACAGATTGCGAGTCGAGCGCCCTAATCGGGCTTGAAGAAAATGAATGATACTTTTATTATAAAAGTCACGCGAGTGCGAATAGACTGCGTTTAATCTTTCCTAATAAATATTTATTATCTCTAACAAAAAAAATAAAATAAAATAAGATAGTGACATAAATTATCGCGGGTTTCTTTGTGATTAGATAAAATTCAAAACGACTTCTTTACTCATTTAGATTTGGAAGAAATATTTAATCTTTAGTTTATTCTTCTGCGAACTTTTCTTCGAAATGTGCCTTCTCTCTTTCTCTGACACATTAAATAAAAGCTGTTTCACAAATGTCACTCTAAACAAGAGAATGATGATAAAAACAAAACAAAAACGATGTAATAAATAAACCAGCAACGTCGGCTTTATTGTTCGTAATTATTCGCATACAAGTATGAACGAAAAGTACCACAAGAAGTGTCTCAGGGAAAATGCGTGCAGTCTTCTTTAAGTGAGTATCTATAATGATGGATGACAAGTTGTTCTTTTCGTAGACAACCTGAAATACCGGTCGTAACCAGTTCCTTCCTATCACATTCAAACATCAACATTTGCCATTTTTAAGTACGTGAGAGATCCCTCAGGAACTGAGACATGGTGGTTAGGGCGCTCGACTCGCAATCTCAGGGTTGCGGACTCGAATCCCCGTCACCGAACAAGCTCGCCCTATTTCAGCTGTGAGGGCGTTATAATGTGACGGCCAATTCCACTATTTGTTGTAAAAAAGTAGCTTAAGAGTTGGCGGAGGGTCGTGTTGACTAGCTGTCTTGCCGCTAGTCTATCACTGCTAAATTAGGGACGGCTAGCGCAGATTTCCCTCGTGTAGCCTTGCGCAAAATTCAACACAATTCAAACCAAATTCTCAAGAATCAACTTTAGGAGCATAATAATAATTAAACCAACAAAAGTAATGTGCCGAAGGTAAGGAATAGTTCGCACATTTATCCTGTCCCAAATGTCACAGAAACACTTTTTGACATATTAGGATGAAGAACTGTGCGTTTAGTTGAACTAGAACAGAAATACAACCCAGAGAGAGGTTTGTCATCATGCATTTGAAGAATTTCATCAAGTAAACCAGCTGGAAACTCTGAAAATGTATGGTACAATTAAAATAACTAGTAGGTTAATCCTATCGTAACTAGTTGACAGTATATCTGTATATAAAGTATATTTAGGTAATGCTGTCTAAGTTTCGGGAAGGTTAAAGAGATATTAAAAACACGTAAGCTCGTACTGATCATTTTGCTTAAATAAAGGCTACATACGCCGATACCTGTCCCATAAAGCTTGTACCAGTTTGACCCTGTGTCTTTCACCAGTGCACGTAGTTAATGATATCCTTATTAACAGAATGAGGAAAGGTCGTAAATATGTAATAATGATTTTGCTTAGATAAGCGCTACATATGACAGTGTCTATCCTGAAGCTTGTACTAGTTTGACTCTGTGTATGTATCCAATCCCTGGTAGGGGAGGGTACTATATGAGGACATAATATATATATTTTATTTCTTATATATATGATGTTTTTGAATATGTATCCACGTAGGTAATCTAACAGATTGAGGGAGGCGGTACTTGGATCCTTGGTCTGACTTCCTAAGTAGGTAATCTAAGAGATTATGGTATGTGTTACTTGGATCCTTGATCTGACTTCCAATTGCTGTAAAACACTATTCTTTATCTTGACCTTGTGCTCTAGGGACGTACTGTATTTGAAAGTTACTCCTGTCCCAACAGTCAGGAAAAGTATTAATGAAAATAAGAAGCCAGCTAGCTTGGTAAAACATCTTTGTGAACAAATATTGTTTTAATCATTTACTTGTATTTGCTTGTTTTCCTTTGTTGTTCGTGTTCAGTTTATTCTCTACGTAGCATTTTCTGAATTTATGCTCCTATAGAAACATTTGGCTATCACTGGTTATAATAGTATGATACACGTGTGTCTAGAAATATTCAAATCATTAGGATATCATGAATAATGCACGAATAAACGAGAAAAATGCTCAGAGAACATTTCTCAAACGTAAATTTTTCGATAGATTTGGAAAAAGACAATTTTATCAAGATTTACAAACAGCAGCGTTAATCTGGAAAATGTCTGAATTTCTAAGCGAACATTGTTACAGTTTAACCAACAGAGACATAACTGTTGTTATTGAGATCAAGAAATAGGTTACTTGTGTTTTAAAACCCATTCTAAACAGAACCATGGAAACACTGATTCTATAACAAAGAAGCCTTAAACTATTAAATTAAAGACTGTGAAAGATTAACAATGTTAGTGTAAAGTAAAAGAATAAACAGGACCATGGAAACACTGATTCTATAACAAAGAAGCCTTAAACTATTAAATTAAAGACTGTGAAAGATTAACAATGTTAGTGTAAAGTAAAAGAATAAACAGAACCATGGAAACACTGATTCTATAACAAAGAAGCCTTAAACTATGAAAGCAAAGACTGTGAAAGATTAACAATGTTAGTTTACAGCAAAAGAATGAACAGAAGCATAGAAACACTGATTCTATAACAAAGAAGCCTTAAACTATTAAAGTAAAGACTGTGAAAGATTAACAATGTTAGTGTAGAGCAAAAGAATAAACAGAACCATAGAAACACTGATTCTATGATAAAGAAGCCTTAAACTATTAAAGTAAAGACTGTGAAAGATTAACAATGTTAGTGTAAAGTAAAAGAATAAACAGAACCATGGAAACACTGATTCTATAACAAAGAAGCCTTAAACTATGAAAGCAAAGACT